ATTTTTTAAATAGCGTTTATTATTACCGATTGGATTATGTTGTTATTTATTTACGTTTTAATTTTTCAAACCCCGACAGTATAACTAATGTCAATTTATTTAAATTCTTATGATCCAAAGCAAGATTATCTTCCAAAATTATAAAAAGTAGTCCGCAAAATTATTCGCAACACTTTAGCAACTTTAGCTTATTTTTTTAAGTACTTCTTTCATCTCGACCTATAACTATTTTCAGCTGCTTTTTATCAAAATTTTTTCTCAACAATATATTTAATTGAATTTACTTTATGCGAAAGAAATCTTTTCCAATAAAAAAGAAAATAAATATTTGCATGAACAAATGCTTGATACTATTCAACAAAGCTCAATCTTCATACTCAGTATCAGTTAAGTAATGTATACACTCTCTCTCAAAAAAAGAACTCGCCAGAGAGCACTCTAATCTTCGGTGAAGCAATAGCAGAAAGTCTACGCGCGTCCTCATTCATACTACGTAGAAAGCTAACATTTTTCTTGTGAGATACGCGTGGGAATGTTAATCCTCCCCCGGAAGCGCGTCAAGACCTTAGGGATTTGTTGATTTCGTTCGTGAGAAAGAAAAAGAAAGTAAACTTCTGCTTTCCAAGGTATTTCTGCCTGTTGCCATTGTTATTGCAAGAGTGCAACTCGCAATAACCCTCAAGGCTTATCAAGTAGTAGAAGCATTGATTAGATCAGACCCGTTAACAACGCAGAGGGCAAACAGCAACATAAAAAGTAAATCAGTGTACAAACAGTTATTACATAGTTCACTTGTTACCCTTCAAATTGGAATCCTAGAACCATATTCTCATTGCTAATGGTCATAAATAATACTACAGTTATTTTTACCCTTCCCAAAAAAATAAGTTTCCGAGTGTAAGGTTATTTAATTGCAAGTTATTCAAGTGCAAGTTATCTGCGTCTTTTTTTTACTTAGTTATCGAACTTGTATAATGGAGTAGTATTATGATTAAGATAATACTCCTGAAAAAGTGACTTTAAGCTGTTTTTTTTCTTTCGATCATATCTCCACGAAAGTTTTAGAGTGGGAAAGACCGCAAGCCTTTTGCTCGAGCTCGTCGATAAGTCACAGCTTAGTGAAACTTCTTTTTCTTGCTGACATGCCGTTTCTTACGATTGTCACTTAAGATTTAAGACTGCGTCCGCCTTCTCTCTCTCTCTCTCTCTCTCTCTCTCTCTCTCTCTCTCTCTCTCAGCATTCATTAATCATGACATGGCGCGCACGCGGTTGTGTCATCACCATCATGTAACGTGCTGCACGCAATCGGCAGCGTCGGCGAGGTCATTGATAACACCAAGAGATCAATGTGGGCGCGTACAGCGTACGCCAACCTATTGTTTGCTATCGATATATATATATATATATGAAACCGTGCACGGTTTTTTCTTTAAGGGGACCCAGCCGTTTTTTCTTAAATAAGAGAGAGAGAGAGAGAGAGAGAGAGAGAGAGAGAGAGAGTAAGAGTTGGCTTTTGAAAGCAGGATTCGGATAAAATGGATATTGACGTAGAATATTGAATGGTGTGTTTATTGCCTGATAATAGTTTTGCATTTGATAGTAAGAGTGAATAAAATAATTTTTTGTTGACAGAGCTGAAGTGGCTCATTTTTTACAAGTAATTGGAGATATTCTACATGTACGATTGGTTTGAAACAGATTTCAACCATCAAAACATAAACATATACTGCTTTTTTGATAATGAAATAAATGTAATATTTCTACAAACTTTGGCATTTTTTCACTTGACAGTCATTCATTTGATATTTTCATCGATTATAATAACTAGAGATACAAACAAATATTTGTTCTTTTATGTTGCTCATTTACATGCCGGATCGAAATTTGGAGAATAATCGAGAATGCCGAAAAATGTATATAACGTATTTCTAAATTTACACAACAATGAGCGTATAGTACATCTGCGTATATAGTACATCAGAAAGCAAAAGAAAAGATATAAACCATAAAGAAAAACTTTGCTTTAAAAGCGTAGAGTCATCATTCAAACTGCGTGCGAAAAAAAGGTTATAACAATTAATCATCAGCTCGAGCTTTTGCGAAACACGAAAGGATATCCAAGAGCGCAGTTGGATTTGCCACAAGCTCATTAGTAGGGAATAAAACAGTGATATCGTACGCTGAACAATAAAGCACCATAAATCACGAAGAAGCAACAACAAAAAATTGATGATAGGATGAGAGGTAGCTTCATTATCATATCGAAAGTCATTTTTAAAAATTCTTAGTGAACATACAGATTTATTCCGTCCGTTCTTCCAAGATTTTTGTCCATATCATCGGATATGTATGACAAGCTGCATCAATCATCCTATATTTTTATATGATTGATTGCTCTGATAAATAAAATTGATTTTGTTACAATTTGTGAACATGCAATATATATAGTCGATCAAATGGAGGATATACGCAACACGTCATTATAGTAAGAATGAATACGTACGACTTTTTCGTGAGTGTTAACTGGCGGAAGTTCGAAAAATAAATGTTGCTGTAAATAGCACCATTAGGCGATCCCCACTACGGTGCTTTTTATCACCTACTGGCTGTTTGCTTCGAAGCCTCCTGAAATCGATGAACTCACCGAGAAGCCAAGCTTCTTGCAAAACAATCACTGTAGAAAATTTTGTTCGCGGTACAATGTACTGAGGTGAAAATACTTTATTTAACATGAAAGAATTTCAATTTTTCACTTGTTTTTTATCTTAAGGAAATTTTTGTACCGTACTTTTAGTTTACTTATGTCGTGGAAGACATGTTTTTTGTCTCTATAGGAAGAACATTAATTTATTCGTTAAAGTTTCCTTCATTATTTATTGTCTGTCAATATTTTCAGCGACAGATTTAAATTTGTTGAGAATTAAAAACTCCTTTTTGTCCATTATAAACAAGCTATCCAGAAAATTTTCGATGATACGATGCAGACGCATTCCTTCGAGAATAGTATTTTTATTGTCATTAAATCTATATTAATCATTCAAACATATGTGGTAGGCATTCAAACAACGTACACCTGGGTAATCATTTTAAAAGCACATATAACCAGGTTACATAGTATCACGCAGCAAGTGCTCAATTTACCTTTACGAATGCTGCTCATTATACAGCAGAGGTGCCACGCAGCGACATTAAAAGGCGTGAAACGCGCGTGCGTTATTAATTAAAGCGATTCGAAACCAAATGCCATGCATTGTTATGATAATGATGATGACGCGTAAATCCAAAGCGACATTTACTTTAACCCTTTCATAATGCACTTTTTCGGTCAAGATTTCAGCTCTTACAGTGCTTTTCTCGAGTTAAAGAAAAATGAAGGTAGCTATGTTAAAGGAGTTTAATGCTTAATGCAGTATTCATACTATTTCAATACGTACAATTTTGAATGTTCATTCAAGATGAGAAAATATCTCTATTTTATGAATTATTTGTTTGTAAGCCACTTCATCTTCCATCGCTGGTCGGTTGGGCATTCAGTCGCGAAAGTCAATGCAAGGTTCGCATATCCGTATGTTGCGCAGCCTATATCAGCTTTAATTAACACGCCTGCACTGTCACTGCTAATGATTGCGCTAACGCGTAGAGAGCTTTTTCTGTGCGGTCAAGTGTCATTGACTGATTGATTACTCGGCATATTGGAAGCGACTTTTTTTCTTTTCAGTAATTCTTTTTCATCTCTGTGGTTCTATCTGATAATCCGTAAGTTTCAAAAAGTTGGTTCTTATGATATCAAAGTTTTTAAAAGAAATTCGTTATATTGATTAGAACTTTTTTCATAATCCCTTTTTTTGTGGGATGTACATTTGCGGAATTTTCAGTTGCACATAAAATTATTTTTTTTCCCCTTACGTTTGACTTACAATTCTTGAGAAAATGGCTTTTATTCAAGTTTATTGAATACATTTTTAAGAATACGTCGTTCATTTTACCGAATATTTTCTTAATAGCTCATTGCTTTTCAAAACAAAGCTCATCGTCCCTTAAGATTCCATATAATTGCACAGAAAATTCATTCAGGCTATAAATCACATTTCAATGCTTGAACAATGCTCTATAGAATCCTTTTGTAATACAATTTCTAAGAGCACGTATAAATATCAAAATCACAGTACGTTATATGTTCTATTCACTTGTCCCAACGTTGCAATTTCTAGTCATCTGCTCGCAGAGTGCACTCCAGCAAAACTAACACAGAGCGATTAGATAAAGGAATCTTGAGATGAATCTCATATGAAGTAAAAAAACATCTTCACTTTTGAAGTTTCGTGAATTTAAGCTAACCATTCTGATGAAATTTGGAAGATCTCTGGCATTTAATTTACAAAGTAAATGCAAAAGGAGGCAAAGTAGATGCTGGCAACTATTCGACAAATAAATTAGCAAATACCTTAGCGAAAACGTTTCTTAAGTGAAATTCCTAGGAAGTTCGTATGCTTGCCTCTTCTAATTCGACGATAATGCTATTGATTTTTAATTAGGAGATGTATATCTATAGTTTTACAATGACAATTCAAGTTTCAAGATTTTTTAGCTTTCTTGCATTATCACATAGTTTTATGGCAAAACCGAAAACTCACTCAACTTGAATGGGCATAGTTCGAAAGTAGATTGAAATGATTTTTATGTCACTCGTTTTGTAAATAAAGCCTTTTCGTACTTGACAAGAAATATACTTTTTTTTTCTTTTTCAACTTTGTAATAGTTAAGAATGTAACTCTTCGTCTGTCAATAAAGAATTTTTGAAATCACGATTATGAAATATAAAACAACGTTTGAAACGATACGAATTTCTTTGCAAACATTTTTGTACTCACTGGGATAAAATCTGATGTTTTCATTGAAAGCGATGATATTTTACAATAACCAACATTATAACTCGAAACGTACTACTTTCAAAGAATAAAAAAAAGTTTGAAAATATTTTTTCATTTTCTGTTTATAGGTACGTTCGAGGTCGTTAACGCAACTTGATGCGCTCGGCACAAGTATGCTTGACGCGGGTGAGCATATGGATACCCCATCCCATCAGCATCACCGAGATAGTCCTCATCACCATCATTCCCTTCATCATGATCATTCACATAATTTTGGCGAGCCAAGTCCGCGACTCCTCGTGCCCAATGCCGCGAGTATATCCACTACCGATGGTACCAAGTCTAATCGAACCAGGCATAAGCTATCAAGGTCACAGGTGAGTGCTTCTTTTCTATTTTAAAAAATCTAATATGTACTGAGTAATATTTAAACGATACTCTATAGTTAAATATTATTTATGTCATATAAAAAAATACAATTAAACATCACTTAAACGTAACAGCGATCATATACAAACACGAAATTTACTTCGGTATTCCATCCTGCAACTTACAGCTCATTGTGCGTTCATTTAAATCATAAGTATCGTCATTTTGATATATCTACGTATGTTCTATCTTTTTCATGCTTTAAAGCATTGATAAAAACTGCGTACTTGTTATCGTAAACCAAAACGAGCGTTGCAAAAAAAAGAGAGTTTACGTTCGCGTTCGTATACCCATCGAATTTATAACTTCGATCTTGCGGGCAGTAATCCTCTATCCTTCATTTATGACTTAGAAGTAGCCCCGCGTACGACATTACTACATGCGAGCCTGCAGCAGTTTTACGAGACCAGACGAAATAATGTGTGTGTGTGTGTGTATGAGTGTGTGGTGGATTACCAACGCTATTCATGCGAAATCGTAGTGAAGATACAGCTTATGAGCCAAGATATGATCGCACTCGCGCGAAGGAGAGATACGCAAAAGATCATTGTCTCTTATGTGTTCTTCGAAAGTTTTTTTTAGCTATTCATCTGAATGATATTCATAATCGATGATGTATTGTCATGTGGCATTTCGCGGAATTGATGTATCAAAATTTAATTAAAATAATTTACAATGTATACAGTTCGATGTTAAATCGTTTTTAATGTATATAAGTGTCGGCATACTACGTTCGTTATGTTAACAGGCCGCAGGGACGCAGTGTCATTAACCTTATTAGTAGCCATAAAGCGGCCTACGCATTTAAGTGCAGACACAGGGTTTTAGGAAGGGGAATGGGGGTTATATACTAATTGACCGCTAACTTCGACCATTGTGCATATCTATTATACTAATACTCTTTTTAAGTCATGCAAACTTTGGTATTAAACTTTAATTTATTCCATACAAGAAACGTAAATCTTCAGCCTTTTTTATTTCAAAAAAGAAGTATTATATCAGTAAAGAATTATTATCCTCAATCAAGTTGAAATAGTTAATAAGAATTCATGTCTGACCATATCGTACCTCTTCTACTTGGAATATTAAAGTACGAATTTTTGCTGTTTAACGATATTTTCAATTTATTAAGCATTATCAGTTTTGCATTAAAAATATGAATTTTTACGTAGCTTAAAACGGTCGGTCTATAACTTTATCAAACTAAATCTCAGAGCGGATCGACACGAATCAATGGCATTTGATTCAGATTACAAAGACTCATCGTATAGACTATTCAATAGCAAACAAAAGCATCGAAAGCTTCACGCGCTGCTGCTGTTTTGTGAAAAATTTTGAAAAACTTTTCAATATTGTTCTATCCAAGTGTGATGCTGCTCGCGCGGATATTTATTCGAATCAAATTCTCAACTAGAATCCTTTATAGACTGACTTATATTTTATCATTTTACTAATGACTTATAGACCGTTGAGGTTTTAGCAAGGTCATTTTATCTTTTCTTCGCTTTCAAGCTTTTATCTTTTGACTTTCTTATTCTCCAAAACCTGGGTTTTCGCAGTCATACTCTTTTAATTTCAGTCAATAAAATTATTTCATATTATCTCATAATTTGAATTACTAAAGCCGTGTAATTTTACGACTTTTGTGTAATTAATCCATCCCGGAAATCAATGATTTTATTACAAAAAAATCCGAATATTTTTACAACAGGTGGTTTCTATTAAATGATGAAATAAGGAAAAAATTCGTTTCCGTGGGTTGAACCATTCGAAATTTAATGGATAGAAAGCTTCCGGTCATCGATTCTTCATTTTTGCAGTTTTTTGACGGCTGTTTGCCAAGATAACCAATTTTAAATTTGAATTTTACAAACAGAAGCAATTGACTTTAAACTCTTTTTTCCTGTCGTATTTGTACACCGCCTATACATTCAAACTGATTAGCAAGCGATTTAAAAGTTCAATTCGATAAATCTACTTAAAAATTTCGTCTAATCATCTAACATCGTAGTTTTAAACTTCTGAATTTCAGCGACAAATTATAAAAAATATCACAATATAAGGTCGCAAATTTATGTCTAAAGTTGTCAATTGAAAGTCAACATTTGTTGTTTTGTGTAAAGTTGCCCACTGGGCGTAAACGCTTGGCGATGTCAAAAGAGGTAGCACAATCGAATAGATACAGCGAGGGGGAAGGGGAGATTTTAGCAGTGACAGAGAGAGAAAAGAATCGAATTATATACATAGAGAGAAAGAGAGAGAGGGAGAGAGAGCTAGCTCTGTCTGCCTTCAGGGACATGAATATCCCTTTGGACTATAACGTCACACATGCACAAAATGAACGATCGATATTATGCAAACACTGCCTGTTAACTTCACGGACGACATATTAACGCCACTTTGCATGCTATATGCACGACTCGTTACTTTTAACATTTTTCTCTCTGCTTTTAAAATGGACACTTACGCGTGCACGGTTTAACTTTACACTTTGGATACTTAATGAGATTTTAAGTGACATTTTGGCGTTGAATGTATTATGCTAAAATGCTTTATATTGTCTCAACTTTTTTTTCGTGATCCACTCTATCCCTTGGCGACGTTTTTGAAAGTGTAAAATAATATTTCGGTTCTAGATTGTCAATTTCACAAATCCCATTCTGGTTTCATTACTTTGTTACATCAATTTACATTCAAAATCATCATCTCCGAAGTGATGAAATTTAATTTTTTTCTCGCAGGTATCGAGCAGTGAGTATTTCAGTGTGAGCTTCGAGGTGGGCGACGATGCGGGTACGATAGACCGGGAGGAATTTCTGCCAGTCACTAAGGGAACGTATCTAGTGTAAGTAAATAAACTCAACTCAACTAGGCACTTCTCTTTTTTCTTGACTTTCCACTTCTGCGAGAGATACACCCTTTCAATTTTCACACGTGAAAATTTACTCGCTGATATTCCAAGTGTAAACGCAAACGATATCGTGTTGATTTTAATTAAACGAATGAAAATTTCCAAATGCCATTACCGCCGTACTGAACCTGGAATGTAAAACGAAGATTGAGTTTTCGATTCTCAATTAAAAGCCAGAGAGAGAGAGAGAGAGAGAGAGAGAGAGAGAGAACTTTATTTACTCCACGGTAAAAATTACAAATTTAGTTACAATACAAATGTAGTGTAACTAATAACAATAGTACAGTTATAACATGTCAGCAATTAAAGTCGTATGACATAAAATTTCCAGTAAGTCACATATCATAAAGTTTTGGTAGGTCACATACATAAAAATTAGAATGAGTCATACACATAAAATCAAAACCAGTCGTATAACATAAAAATTGATTAGTCATACAACATAAAATAAAATAAAACAAAGTAAAATCAGTCATATAACATACTAATTAACAGCCAACAGATGAGACGACGTGCTGTTCATTTGCTGATTTCTATCTAAAACTCCGGTGTTTGATGTTTTAAGTGCTGATTGCACAGTCAGGAGTTACATTAATCGAGGCTAAGTTTGCTGAGTCAAAAACACTAGTCGGCCCGTACGGCCACACCGTTGGCCACTCCACCCCGACCCTCCGGACCACTGTCTAGGCTCAGGATGTACCCCCGAACCGCTACCTTGAATGAGGCAAGCGTCGGAAGCTGCCGGACCGACTGAGGAAGGGAGTTCCAGTATCACGCCCCCGCGACCCCGAATGATCTTAGTGCAGCCTCAGTGCTCACCGATGGCACCTTCAGCTCGGCCCTCTCGCTACAGCCCCTCCCCGGGTACCTGGACACGTGCAAGGCAAATAAATGGAATAGGCACTGTGGCTCCCTCATTCGCAGAACCTTGTACAACAGTACCGCCAAAAAGTAATTTCTGCGAGAATTGGAGAGGAACCAGCCAAGCCGTTTCCTGTAAGGAGTTATGTGCTCATCCCTCCTGACACCAAAGATATACCTGATGCAGGAGTTACTGAGCCTCTGCAGCCTTTGTAGCTGTTCCTTGCTCGCATCCAGGCACACGACCGCGCAGTAGTCCAGATGCGGCTGAACCAGGGACTCGACCAATCTCCGTCTAAGTGATGAAGTTGTGCAAGCCCTGATAAAGCGCAAGCTGTACAGCGCCCTATTTACCTTTTTGGCCACCTGGTCTATATGCTGCCGCCAAGACAGCTTGCTGTCCAGCGTCACACCCAGACTGACCACCTCATCTCGAAAAGGAACGAAGACCCCGTCCCGCACCTCCACGCCTGGCAAGCACTCACTGTTTAGGGTGTTAATGTTCGGTCTCGAACCACAGATAATTGCTTTTGTCTTACCAGCATTGAGCCGCAGGCCGGAGCACTCCGCCCAGTCAGACACTAAACGCGCCACACGCGACAACCGCGATATTCCTTCATGAAGCATACCCTTGCTCACACTCATGTAGATCTGCAAGTCGTCAGCATACAAGATGTGGCTAATACCCCGATCAGCAATCACATTCTGCAGGTCGTTGACAAAAAGACAGAAAAGTAGAGGTCCTAAAACGGACCCCTGCGGGACACCCAGATTGGTTTCAAGCCACCCCGAGTCGCCCGCTTTAGAGGATACCCGTTGGGTGCGACCCTGCAGATATGACTTGATCCAAAGCAAAGCCGACCTTGAAAAGCCCATTAAGCGAAGCTTGCACAGCAACTTTGACGGAGAGATGGTGTCAAAGGCCTTGCTGAAGTCAAATAGCAGCAAAAGTGTTACTTTGCCTTTGTCAATAGACATGCGTATGTCATCAGTCAGCTTCAGCAAGGCCGTTTGAGTACTATGATGCCTTCGAAAACCAGTCTGAAAGGGATCAAGAATGTTATTATTACTCAAATACTCCGTGATCTGATCATGGGCCAGCTTCTCAAGTACCTTCGACAGGAAGCAGAGCAGCGCAATCGGTCGGAAATCAGAAGTGGAAGATGGTGTTCCGATCTTCTTCAGAGCAACCAATCGCGACCGCTTCCAGAAACTCGGGAAGGCACCCCTGGCAAATGAGGAGTTAAACAATTTAACAAGATGGTCACCGATAACCGGAAGAGCCTTCATGACCAGCTTCTGCGGGAATCCATCTACTCCTGTTGCTTGAGTAGTAAAGTGTGCAACAGCTCTAGCCACATTGTTACGCCCGATATGGCGAAAGGTGAAACCTTCTTCATTCGCAGTTGTTAATTCATCCATGACATCATCAATGTTCTCGAGCGGAGAGACGGACACCCCCGCAAAGTGGGCATTCAGCTCATCCGGTGTAAAGTCATGCAACTCCTCCTCATCGCTCTTCGGCAGCAAGCCAACGCGCCGCATTTCCTTCCAAATATTTTTACCACTGTCAAGAGTGTCAGTTAAGTGCTTGCTAAGGAAGGAATTACGCTCTTGCTCCATGCGCACGTCGACCTCGCCATTAAGCCTAATAAGCTCATCGCGGAGATCAGCACGTCCTGTGCGTTTATATCGCCTGCGCAGTGCCTCACACCTGTCGACCAGCCTCCTCAGCCCGGGACCAAACCAAGGAGCATATTTTTTATTTAAACGCACCGACTTTAACGGTGCCAAGGCATCAAGAGCCAGTTCCAGGTTTGCATTTAATTGCCCAATGGCTCCTTCCAGTTCTGGTTCGTCCACATCAAACTCCGCCCAGTTGCAGGATGCCAACAAATCCACCAGTTTGTCCGGACAATTTCTCAATTAAAAGCCAGAGAGAGAGAGAGAGAGAGAGAGAAAGAGAGAGAAAGAGAGAGAGAGAGAGAGAGGGAGAGAGAGAGAGAGAGAGAGAGAGAGAAGGGGAGAGATACATACACCCATTATATAAGAACAAATGAGTTTTCTGCAACAGAGTGGCTTTGCCATTTCTCAAAATGGATCGTTAGACTAACTGCTTCATAACCGTTAGTCACCTCTGTATATATACTATGATAGCTGCTTTTTGTAATTTCATAGAGATATTATTTCGTTCTTACAATTGTTTTTTCGGATAATACTACTTTCGATTTTATCATGAACTAATCTATCCTCGTCTCTATATCTACATATTACCTTCTATAATAAAATTTAATTCTGCAATCTAGATTCAAGAAAAGGTGAAGGTTTGAGAATAGTGCAGTTTTTCGTTTACATTAGCAAACAAAATTATACTCTATGAAAAAGGTATTTTATAAACGAGTTTTAGTTTAGTACAAGAGTAACTGTTCACACTGTGAGCATATGCTATTTGGAAAAATATAAGAAAAATATAAGAAAAATATTACCTCGAGAATTTCACGGAGCATCAGCGTTATCCTAAACACGTTGCACTCTTATGTGCCAACACGTACTGCCCAGATGCTGTGCCAAGGCCGGCATCGACCGAAGCTCAGCTTGTTCGGTTGACTACAAGTCGGAAGGAAGATTTTCTATCTTTCCCTCCCTTAGAGACAAGGGAAGAAGGAGGGAATCATCATTCGATGAGGATGAGTGAATCAATTCGTCAATCCACATCGCCTAAGTCTCATCGATACGCGTTACTCCTCAATGTCCGTGACGAAAAATAAACTCTAATCTCGATCTCTTCTCGTTTTGTACCTGCACCGAGTCCCCGCCATTCATCGTAAGCACGTTCTGTACTGAGTATCCGCAATGTGCGAGCTGGACACGGTCCGCCTCGAGCGACTATTGTAGAGCTCGCTCTGGCACGTGTCCTGAGTGAATTGAGTGTACCATCCGCGCGACTGAAAGGCTCACCTGTCCACAATGTGGCGGGGTCTGTGCCCAGTCTTAAGACATCGAGGCCGCATCCTGCACTCTCTCACACCATCGCAGCAGCAACTACGCGTCGACGACTTGCGGGAGTTCTCGGCATTTGTAGCGTTTCATTTGACTCTGCAAGCCTTATAGTATTAAGTCTACACTAATAGCTATTACTGACTTGTACCTAGCTTGAAACGGCTTTTCTCCATTATGACTGGGTTTTTTATGATACGTTAAGTATCTAATTTCTCTTGCTTTTTCCATTTGAAGTTGAATTTTAATCTAAATAAACTCACAACTTACATTAAGCTGCATTTCCCCTTCTTTCATGCACGGACTCCCTTTAATACAAACGAACTTACTCTCGCGATCAATTTTCTATTCTTCTAAGATTTATGAACGATCATGTTCCGATAATTAAATTCATAAAACAGTTACAATTCACTTATTAGTAGTAACCTACCCACTATGGTCAGTCGCGTGCGTTCATCATGTATGTACATAATATGAAGCTACAACTTTTATAAACGACATCGAAACTGTCCATATCAAATAGATAAGGTTTCTACATAAACAGCAAAAAAATGACAAGGTTATATGAGTATTCCAATCAGAAATAATCATAATCGGCTTCACGAAAGAATCAATCCCTACCAATACATGGCAAACTAATGCGATCACACGATTGACATAACGATCGTATTACACGGACTATGCGCACTTAATGGAATAATGGGCCACGTGCTCAAATACAACCCTCTATCGCCGTATCAGTGGCCCGGCTGTCGTATATCGGCGCGCAATCGTGTAAAATGTTGAATTACATCGGGCATGCCATTTGCTTTTACCATTTTTATCAAGAAATTTCTAATGAGAAATATTTTCAGTCAATATGTAACTCGACTATCGTTTATTCGCTTTTTCCGTTCCCGCATCCACTCGCTATTGTGGTGCGCGCTCTTTTATTCTTTGCCGTCCGCAATTTTTCTCGGTAACTCAACTGTTCATCGCTTGCGCCTGAACATAATTCATGAAAAGCGCGTGCGTTTTAACGCACTGCGATAAATTAAGTTACGTTTTTTCTATTTGTTAGCCTGTATATCAATCGA